AGAGAGAGTAGTTTCACTATGATTTGGGTGTTAGTTTCAATGAGTCTCTGGATTTTACCGAGCATATTGATGAGACTGTTACCAGGGCATTTGGCTCGGTCTTCCGGATACTTCGAAATGTCCACACATAATCCATTGACTATGTTACGACTTTATAAATCTTTTGCTTTGCCTAAACTTGAATACTACTCGCAACTCTGGAGTCCGAGTAAAGCTGAACATATTAAAAAGCTTGAAAAAGTTCAGAGAGTTTTTACTAGAATTGTGATGAGGAGATGTGTCCCCGATTGTTCCGCTGTGAGTTATTATGACCGCTTAAAGAAGATAGGACTTAAATCTCTTGTTTGCAGAAGAGCTAAATCTGACCTCTTGTTTTGCTTCAGAGTTCTGAAACGTGAAGTCAAGTTGAATCCCAGCGATTACTGGATCTTTATGCCTGCTTACGATAGACACGGTGGTTTTTACTTGCATTACCCAAAAGTTGAGAGGAAACATGCCAATTTGTTATTCAATCATATTTTTGTCGGGGAGCTAGAGGGTTACGGTGCATACCTCGCGAAGTTTTGAGTGCTGACAACTGTGAAGCTTTCAAAAGGAAACTGAAGTTGACATTTGCCAACTATTGAACAATTCTCTCTGATTGTCCTTGCCTGTTTCTGGTCTATTTCTTGCCGGCCCTCGCTTATCAACTCATGTGTTTCGGACTTTGCTTTCCCCACATCGTTTTTACGACAGCCGCTTTCGTGAAGCTCTTTCCCACTACGTCGTTTGACTTTCATGTTATTTTTTTCGATTTGTTGTGTCCGCGTTTCTTGATTTATCGTGTTTACTAACCATGCTGTGTTGGCCTGTCACCCACTTTCGGATTGAGCAGCAGCATTGTGCCTTGGGACCATAGACAGCTGCGTTTCATGCATGGCTTTCCCAGAATAAGGCAGGTGTATCCAAGCATCGGTGGTGTCAGGTTGGTGGATAGCTGGCAGGAACCAGTCGCAGACGTTTTGGACAGCCCGGAAAAGTGGCAGTGGCATTCCCCAATGCCAATTACCTGACCTCCCTTGACCAAATAAAAATTTTTCTTCCTCAACACCTAGGCCTTTACTCGCTGTTTGTTTGTTCTGGTGAAAGGTGGCAGGCTAGTTTCTTACTCTAGCAATGTTTTCGTCACTCACCCAGGCTTTGGCACATGTTTACGTGTATGAAATAAATAAATAAATAAATATTAGGTTGGCACGAAAGTTCTTGCGTAATTAGAAAATTCAATAACTTTACAAGGAGCAGACCAAGATTGATGGTTCGATATCTCAAAAATAAAGGAAGATTTAAGCTCTATAATAGATGTTTAAGCTTGGCAATCTATGAGTCGGCTCTCGAGAACGAAGCTTTCAAAAATGACGATTCAAATTTGGCGATTTTGAGTTTGATGCTAGAAAATCAAGGAGGGTCGCTAGCTAGTCTGAAAAAATCCGTAAAAATTCTCTACTTACTATACACCCATACCACTTTGGCAGGCTTCAATCTCGTACAGAAATGTAAAAACAAAAAATTCTTGAAAAATGTCATTTCCTGGAAAAGTCCCTTATTACAGCACCTTTTTCAGCAAAAACACTGTTTTACGCTTCAAAAAACTTCATAGTGTTCTAAATAAACACCATGTCTGATTTCTGGTTTTAAACCGTGTTTCTGTGAAAAAACTACAACGATAAGGAGACTTTTCCTGTAAAGTGACATTTTTCAAGAATTTTTTGTTTTTACATTTCTGTACGAGATTGAAGCCTGCCAAAGTGATATATGGGCGTATGGTAAGTAGAGAATTTTTATAGATTTTTTAGACTAGCTAGCGACCCTCCTTGATTTTCTAGCACCAAACTCAAAATGGCCAAATTTGAATCGTCATTTTTGAAAGCTTCGTTCTCGAGGGGCAATTCTTATAATGTCAAGCTTAAACATCTATTATAGAGCATAAGCCTTCCATTATTTTTGAGATACCGAACCATCAATTTTGGTTTGCTCCTTGTAAAGTTATTGAATTTTCTTTGAATTACACAAGAACTTTCGTGCCAACCTAGTAAATATGTATGTATGTATGTCTTTACGTATGTGCGGAATAGAAATTTTTCTTTCTGAACCGTTTGGACCAAACTTGGCACACATACACTTCGGGGCCGGGCGAGTGCCACAGGCTACTTTTCGTTATCGATCGATATCGATTTTATCGATTTTTTGCAAAGTTTGAGCTACGGGGCTGGGAGTTGGCAGGGAGGGTAAGTGAGCATGGCGATCTCGAATACAACATTAATTTCCAAAATTATCCATTACTTTTATCGATTTTATCGATTTTTTCGCAAGGTGTTCGAACTGGGACTGGGGCTGGGATTTGGCACAGGGGGGTAAGTGGGCGTGCTGATTTCGAAAACAACACAGGGAACGAGAAATGAAGCGTAGAAGTGAGCACAGGGAAAGGCTGTACAGGATAGGGGTGGGATCTTTATTACATTGCTTTGACATGGCCGAGCGGAGCCGGGTAAGCAAGCTAGTACAGTATATAAGTAGCGCAAATCAGAAATGGTAATGATGAAACTGACGCCAAACTGAGTGTCAATACCAGCAATAGATAGACAGAAAGGTGTAAGATAGCAGACCTCATCCTCTCCTCCATAATTCTCAGAGTGATCGCCAGCCCTCAATTTCCATCCTGTTTTCCCCTTTTCTGCGCCGCGAGGCTCGCTTCTATAGAAGCCTTCACCAGGGCCCGAGATGAGTCGGTTTCTAAGGTTTCTGGAAACGAAGTCTCTCCTGACTTTCGGAAGTTATACGAAGTCTTCTTTGACCTACCCACTTAGGAAAAGATGAAAACAAGAAAGATTTACTACGAGAGTTTGACATTGGAGCGCGATATTTAACAAAGCGACTTATAAAGAAAATAAAAAACAAAAAAAAGGCAGTGATATGAAAATGTTTTTATGCTAAGGGATAGATTTTTGACAGAGGAATCCGTCCATGATAGAAAAATCCAAAACTTATGTGAAGTGACAGAAATATTAGGTCGGTGCAAAAGTTTTGTCAGTTTTTTCAATTTATTGGCAAGCACGCTAGAATGAAGATAAACAAACACTTCAAGAAGTATCCGATGCAGAATTTCTTCCTCTTTCAAAATGCTAAACTCCCTTTGTGTTTCGTTGAGAAAATGACGAGATATTTGCCGGAAATTACAACCAATCTTTACAATGTCCAACTTTCACTAATTTTCAAAATTTTTGTATGAGACTTTCGGAGGAGCCCCAATAACCAGCAGATAGGGGATTTATTTTTTGAAGTGACCAAATTTTGCATTCAGCCTATTTTAACCTCATAGAACATAAAATGTTAAACACTTCAGTCACCATTCAATGCAACTTTTTCTCCTCCTTCTAACACTTGTCTTTTCTTGCCGAGATAGGCGCAATTCGTAGGGAAAATCGCAGTGTTTCTCATTTTCAGGAGTGCGCACTGACGCAACCTCTGTTTCAAAATCTTCATAATTTGAAGCGAAAATAGCTCATTAACTTTGTAATGGTAGCGGTAGTAATAATCGAGTGTTGAAATCTCAGTATTCTGTAGGTTTTGCAGTGTTTGGTGCAATAACAGATTATGCGATTTTTCCAAAACACAAGACTTTTAGAAAATTATTTAGCAAAAGCCTGAAAAAGCAGCTGGAAAAAAGGAAAAAATTGCTTTTGTTGGCAAACGGTTTGCCCTATCTGCTAGTTATTAGGGCTCCTCCGAAAGTCTCATACAAAAATTTTGAAAATTATTGAAAGTTGGACATGATAAAAACGAGTGGTTGCAATTTCCAGCAAATATATATATCGTCACTCTTGCAATAAAGCACAATGGGAATTTAGCAGCTAGAAAGAGGAAGAAATTCTGCATCGGATACATTTTGAAGTACTAGTTTATCTTCATTCTAGCGTGTTTGCCGATGGATTGAAAAAATTGACAAAACTTTTGCACCGACCTAATACTCAGGGACTCGCACCGTGCGGGCGGTCTGCAATGCCGCTACAATCGCTCGTTGGTGTGTGCGATTGTACGCTGGTGAAGGTCCGATTGCAAGGGTAAGGTGTGGCGCTTGCACGACGCTATTGCCTACCGTTTGCGCATTTACGTTGTAGGATGGCAAAGTACGGCTGCCCTCCGTTTGCGTGGGTAAGGGGTGGCGCTCGCACGGTGGGGCTGCCTACCGTTTGCAGGGGTAAAGCTTGGCGCTCGCACGGTACGACTGCCTACCGTTTGCAGGTATAAGGCTTGGCGCTTGCACGACAAGATTGCCTATTGCTTGCGTGACTAAAGCGGTGCGCTTGCAATGCCCCATAGAGAAAATTGCAAATTTGCAAGTATTTTTTGCAAAGAATACAGTAAGAGTCAGCAATCACTTCATTTAGCTGTTTCAAAAAAACAATGCAGACATTAACAAACAACAGAATTTCTCAGACGGTACAAAATGATAGCCTACTAGCTGGCTTACCCGGCTCCGCCGTATGTTCCGAATAGAAAACTCCATTTCTTAACCGATCCGGATCAAACTTGGCACACATACACTTCGAGCCCCGGCGGGTGTCATAGGCTACTATGACACCCGCCGGGGGTTGTGATAAGTTTGTGATGTAACAATGGAAAAAACGATAATCTCCAAGAAAATGAATGGAAAATTTACAAATTTATTAGAAAATAGTAACGTATGAAAGTGAAATTTGAAATAACTTTGGCTTTAGAAAAATCATTCGGTTTACTTCGTTAGTTTTCATTACAAAACTAGATGGCTTACCCGGCTCCGCCCGGCCCTGTCATTATTTTATTCATAATCAGCATGCTCGATTACCCCCCCCCCTGTACTACCAACTCCCAGCCCCGTAGCTCAAATTTTGCAAAAAATCGATAAAATCGATATCGATCGATGACGAAAAGTGGCCTATGACACCCGCCGGGGCCCGAAGTGTATGTGTGCTAAGTTTGGTCCCGATCGGTTCAGAAATGGAATTTTCTATTCGGAACATACGTACACACAGACATACATACATACATACAGACAGACAGACAGACAGACAAACAGACATTCAGCTTTATATATAAGATACGGCCACCCGTGATATAAAAGCTCTAATATATTTTACATACAAATACAAATCTATCACATAAATTGATGCGTGGATTACTGTGACGCTGGTACCAGGTTTTTTTGATCGTAGGCTTCAGTCGAATTCATGGAGTCGTCCAACGCCTCCCTCAAGTTTACTGAGACGTCCAGCTTGGCCCGCTTCAGCCTCCTCTAAAAATGTTTATTTCAAAATATCATTAATAAATAGATGTAAACTTACGTCGCCCGCGATCCACACCTTTTTGCTTTCATCATAGGTATACGTGCGGATAAGCACTCCCATTTACTTACCAGGAGTTGTTTGTTGTGGACTTGTGTCGCTGACGTACAGTTCTGTTCTTCTGCAAATGACATTATAAGAAGATTTAGTATGATTTATTAAGTAACTTACGCTGGAGCCGCTCGTGACTTCACATTTGACAAGGTCTGCATAGCCGGTCGCGTACGTGTTTTCGGCGTTTGCATTAGAAGATGTGAGTGGTCTAGAAAACACCATCAATTCGGAGAAGAAAAGTTTGGCAGAAGGGCAATGTTGATTGCGATATAAAAGGTTGACACAGATGAAAGGGAGAAAAATCACATAGAATAGTGTTGACTGCAGAATGAGGATTGACTGCAGGATGGATAAAACAAATGAATGAATTAGCAATTTCAAATGGGATGCAATTACGCAAAATAAGTGAATAAGGTGCAAGTGATTCAAATGATTGAATGGAATATTCATTGACGCCGGTACTGCCCCTTGAATCACTCGATGATAGCGCCTACTTATACTCTAAAAAGGCTGCCCTGCATTCGCTCTAGAGAACTAATCTGGGGCGCGAGAAATGTACTTTGACTCAAGAGGTGTGAAGATGCACATAGGGTCATCGCAACAAACGTAAGAAAAAAAACGAAGATGAAAACATCACAGACTTATACTGGATAATCAAAACTTACATTTGATTCCAAATAATCCAGATGTTTCAAAGTTTTCCAAGTTTTGCACGAGCATTTGCGTAAAAGACATCAAGAAGCAAAAAAATCGTCGTCATCCTTAAAGCGATATCTTGGCAAATTAGCATACTCAATCATTGACATGAATAAAGTGACTCAGATTGTTGACACTGGATCTAATGAGCAGGAATTTACATGTAAAGCACAAAAGAGGAAACGCAAAAACAGAGCATCATCACCTGCTGAAAGATAACATTGAAAAAGGCTTTCTCGCTATTCGCCATCGCTTTTCTATCCTTTCAAAAGGATAGAAAAGCGATGACGAATAGCGAGAAAAAGACGACGCACAAGCATAAAGCAACTGAAAAGAAAAAGCCGATGAAAGCAAAACGAAAGCAAACAAAAAAACAAACAAAGCAATTCGGACTTACCAATGGCTAATCCTTTTTTACAAAACCTTCGAACAAATCTACGATTATTTCACAAATTCGCAAGCTGAAAGCGTTGCCTCGTCACATTTCTGCAATGTAACAGGTTATATATGTATAGGGACAAAATAAACAACCTTGACGACGAGTCATCGATGAGCGAAATAGATCGATGAAACATTTACTAGCTGAGGCTGAGAAAGGGGGCTGAGCTGAGGCGTAAAGAAAAAGGCCGTCAAGTCTGTTGTGTCATCATTTTCTGTGATTACGACGAAGTCTTCATTTCGTCATATCACAGAAACGCGGCGCATTTAGCATGACAAATCTTCGGATGTTGGAGACCAGCCCTTTTCCTGCCACAGGATTGACGAATCAGCATATTTCGGTCATATAGGACTCTTTAGATGAAAGAGAAGTCCAGGCAACACATTAATGAAGAAAAAAAGCGGCAATGACCTTCAAATATATGTCCGTAGATGCGCGTGGAACGGCGTCCCTGCGCGCGTTTCTACAGAAAGGTCAATGGCGGCCGCTTGCACGGGCGAATGTTTGCCGCCCGATTGGACGGACACATTGCCTGCCGCTTGCACGGTCGATTTTATTGCGTACTTATTGCGCGGCGAGATTGCCTGCCGCTTGCACGGGCAAATGTTTGCCGCTCGATCGGACGGACTCATTGCCTGCCGCTTGCACGGTCGATTTTACTGCGTACCGATTGCGCGGCGAGATTGCCTGCCGCTTGTACGATCAAGTGATTGCTGGCGATCGTGCGGACGCATTTCCTGCCGCTTGCACGGTCGATTTTATTGCGTGCCGATCGAACGGGAAGACTGTCTTCCGCTTGCACGGCATTTTTATTGTTGACCGCACGCACGGTACATCAAAAACTATGCAGTGCGCTCAGGCGGAGGGGCTTTAATGAGGACCGCCCGCACGGCGCGAATCCCCGAGCATATGCTCCAGGCGATCTCAGATCGTCTGGTGGCCGTCTGGAGACGATCCAATTTTGGGAAAGGTATTACTTCACATAAGTTTTCAAATCTTTTTACATAATCCTTCCGCAAATAATTTTCTATGCATACAGTTAAATTTTGCTGTCATATGATTCTGTGTGCGCTGTATACAAGCAATTTGTTTTTAGCTTTGCTTTCAAATCGCGCGCACTTTTTCACCTACCCGATAGAGCATGTAAATCGTGTGATAACCTGTCCGAAAAGCTTGTGTTCGACTAAATGGCACTTATTCTTGGTGATCGGCCCCTACTCGTCAAAAACGATCTCTTTTGCTTTTTGCTCCAAAAACGAAGTCCAGTCTGCTTCCAGACGATCTGTGCCGGGCTCTGGCCTTTATCTGAAACAAGAAACAAATAACCTTGCTTGCAATTTCCAAACAAGGGCGGTCTGAGAGAAACGTGAGATGAACAGAAAACTCAAGGGACATGATTAAAGATCCCGCCGATGTTAGTGCCGTGCGATTGGAGCGCGCTTTCTGATATCTCACATGGCCAAACAAATGTTATTTGGGGCTGCGGCAAATAGATGCGCTGATGATTTTGGAAGCAAATATGTAATAGTAATAACATCTTAGACTTAGTTCACATTTATGTGGAAAAAACCGAAAAATTATGTGAAGGTAAGTAGGGAGCAACTCCAGGTTGCTTCCAGGTTACGTGGGAGCAACCTAAAATCAAAAACACTTAACATTTTTTACAATCACATAAGTTTTTCATAATTTTTCATACATTCTTTGTTCTCCGCGTTACCTAATTACCAAATTTGGCCGAATTTGGTACCATATCGTTACGTCATCATTGCGAAAGAGCCCATTGTAATTGCGCTGGTGTGGCAACCTTTGCTGCGCCTAATTGTTGTCGCTGGAGCACACCAGCAGAGAGGAAAGGCTAAAGGGTACAATGCCAGGTGCATACAGCGTTTAATATCAGTGGTAATGAATACATAGTTTGTATCTAGGGTACTTTTAACGGTGGACGCAGAGACGAGGAGAATGGGGTTCTCACCTTCTATTTTAGAATATGTAACTTCGGAATGTTTGTAGATGGTTTCGAGAAATTGGAGTGAACTTTGAAAATTTTCAATAATAGCAAAAAGAGGCGCAAAATTTTCTTGCAGCATTCTCGATGTCCCTTCTAAAAGTTCGTCAATCGCCACTGCTGTATCATCGCCTCCCAGATCCGTGTAAAGGAAAAGCTTTCCAACTCAAATAATGTCGATTTTTTGATAGCGAGAGAGTACAGTCAAAGTTGCAGTGTGGCTTCCTCTTTTTTAGTGCTGTATCTCCAGCGTCCAAATAATTGCAATTTGCAATGTGTTATTAGCATTTTTGTTCGAATTTGACTTTCTTCATTTTATTGATTTTGTGGAAATCAGCAAATTTTTAAGCAAAGCAAAGCTTATGCTTTGCGCATAGAATTTTCTGAGCCTATTGATCTTCCACAATCTGGTAATGATAAAATCTTGATTTTCGGGCCGGGATGAAAATAAATTTTCCAGAACTGAAGACTATCGCAAATCAAGACATCCTTTCATTTAACTGAAGTATCGTCTTCAGAGAATCGCATGACTATTTATTCACTTGGGCGCTGAGGCACAAACTCGGTAAACTTGTAAATAACGAAAACTTGAGCTTTTGATGCAATATTCTTCAAAAACACATTATTTTACAGATGGAACGGATTTGGAATACGCATAAACTTTTCAAGCTCACATTAGACTTCTCGAATTCTCTTCATTTTGAAGAATATGAAACATCCTCAAATATACTTATCCGCTTTCCCGCATAAACATTATAAAACGCAGGACAGTGGCAGCAGCACTCCTTCTCTAAACACACATTAAAAGATTAATTTCGTTATTTATGATTGGCTTTAGGTAAAAAAAATCAAACTATCGTCAGCTTATGAAATAGTCTGTCAATATTTCAAGCAAGTTAGACTTTATGAAATACCCTATCATATTCTTAACACACCTTAGTGCACAAGATGTTGCATGTGGGTCTCTTTTGCAATAGCATATCTATTTTCCGGGGGCTTCGCCCCGGACCCCAGAAGACGACTTCTCTTTTGCTTTTCGGGCCAAAAACGATATTCAGCCTGGAAAGCGCCATCGCCGCTGTAAAGAAAAGCGCGCGTTACACAAAGCGCCACCCCACCTATGTTCCTTATGAAGATTGTTATCTCTGAACTGATCTGGACTACACTCGGCACATATACACTCCGGGGCAAAGTGAGTGTCATAGGCAACTTTCAATCACCAGTCGATATCAATTTTGTTAACTTTTGTAAGGTTGAACTAGGGTGTTAAGAGCTTATCTGATAAGTTCATGATAGTCTGCGATGACCTGTTGCCGTATTTATTCATCAAAAGCTAGTGGGTTTCAAAACCCACTGGATAGGCTTAACCCATGGGATCGGTATTCACGAAGCTAGTGGGTTCCGGAACCCAATAGGTTAAGTCTAACCAGTGGGTTGCGGAACTCGCGAAAAGCCACTTAACTTCACAAACGAAACCAGTGAATTAGCGAACCCAAAGGGCGAGCTTACCGGTATTCACGAAACAAGCAACCCAATTCTCGTGGGTTCCGGAACTCACTGAGCGCTGGGTTAGCAAAGCCAAGCATGGTGCAAATTTTTGACAAAATATTCCATTGAGAAGTAGGAGAAGCAAAGTTGACGTTAGTCAAGATTTGGCAGTCTTTGAAAAGTCATAAACAAGCTTTTTAATGGAAATTTTTGCGTTGAATTCTAAAGAGCTTAAGCACTTGCCAATGTTTGCTTATGCAATCTTAGGCCCGTATGCACGTACATCGCCGCGGGGAAGGGAGGGGATCTGAGAGGGGAAGCGTCATATCTCGCTAGTCTACATATCTTTCTTGTTCTTTCTCTATCTTGCTTATGAATTCTCTCATACACTTATACCTGCGTTAATGGATGCCAGGTTACTGCCATACAAGATTGTTTTTTTTGCCATTTTGTGTGATCCCCAGAGGATCCCCAGGAGAACACCTCACATTTTTAAAACCATTTATCTTTCTGAAAAATCAATGAAAACGCTGCAAAATGTACTGAAGATATACCACGATACTGCTGAGCATATTTTCGACAGAAGAAATGGAATCTGAAGATTTCGATTTTTTCGATAATCCCTGGCTCGCGATCAGCGGTTCATCAAAGACTTTGATATCTTGAAATTTCACTCACTTCTACCACAAACATGTTTAGCAGTGCTGTAGTATATCCTCAGTACACTTTTAGAGCATTTTTATTGAGTTTTTAGGAAGATAAATGACTTTGAAAATGTGAGGTGATCCCCTGGAGTCCCCAGGGGATAGACAAAATATTGAATATCTAATCTATAATGGTAGTAACCTGGCATCCGTTATGCGCAGGTATCAGGTATGAGAACCTTCAAAAGCAAGAAAGAGAAAAAAAAGAAAGATATATAAACTAGCGAGATACAGCGCTTCCCCTCTCAGATCCCCTCCCCTCCCTGCGTGGATGTACGTGCATACGGGCCTTAGAATTTTCCAATACTGCTGCGACTACAAAGGGACCCTCATATAGGAAGCAGAGCCTCTGCTTGCGTTCGTGTTTATGTATTTGATTGTCTGTATTTGTTCATGTTTGTCTATGTAGGTCTATTCCGCAAACTGATACAAAAGTTTTCAGCAAGCAAACGCTTCAGAAAAAAAGAGAAAAGCGGTTTTTGATCAATCGTTTGCTCGTTAATCTTGTGGAGTAAAAACATTGGGAACGGAACAAGTGGTAATCATGGTAATCACGTGTCAGTTTACATCATAGAGAAAAAAATCTGTCGATGATCCCTTTGCACATTCCAGTCTAAGAAAAACGTACTTCCACTCCCATTCGGGCACCCAAAAGAATTACAATTGGACAAAGGGGCTCGAGCGCTTTCTGCGAATATGCATCTTGCCACTTACGATTTTGTTTGAAACTAAGAGTTTGAAAACAAAGGCATGGATTTACTTGTCATGTACAGCAACAACATCCATAGGATAAAACTTAACTACTCACAGCACATGACAATTGTTCAAACTATGCGAATTTGTGAATATCA